GCAAAGCCGCATGAAGTCGCACCGCCCGCGTGTACACAATAAAAATGGCCCGGGTAAGAGCAGCGGCCATACACAGGGCGACGGCCGCCGCTCTGGGATTCGTAACTCAACTACACACGCACCACCTCCGGCGCCGGCCGTAGGCGCCGCCGCGACCCCGGTGCCCGCCGCCGTACCTGGAACTCCGTACACTCGAAGTTCCGGAACCCCGCACTCGCGGGGTAACTGACACGCCGGTGACGGCCTTTTGCACACATCGCCGTCAACAGCACCGGGTGTGCGCTGTACGACTAGTTCCCAAGATGTTCGTATCACACAGACGCCTTCGGGCTCGCCTATGTTAGTTTCCCAACCTTTTATTTCTCAGATGTCGCCTCACGCCTCATCACAGCCTGTTTTGGATGACCGACGTGACTCGTCGGCGCCGAATACAGTCTTGTGGTGTGGGCGAGGGGCCGACCAGACTTCGGGTGTCTCACGGACGCTCGCCCCGATGTCTACGCCCCCCGGAGGCATGGCTCCGGCTTCTCCCACCGTTTCGGCGGCTCCGGGTGGTCTCGTCAACCACGTTGGAGCACAGGAACCTTCGGGACAACCGCAGGCCCGCCGCGGTGGCTCGAGTACGCTTGTACCCACCGCGCCCCCTCCGGACCCCCCGCGACGTTCCTCTACGGAGCACCAACGTCGCACGGTGCTGACTACACCGCCGTTGCCGAGCGCAAGTAACGGTTTCCCCAAATCGGAAGGTTCATGTTCTTTGTCACGAAATAGCGGTCCCGAGCCTCCCGCGGTCGCTGACCATGTTGGTCGAGCGCCCGCGATGAAGGCCGCTTTTAATGAACAGGCCTACGCCGACGTTTTGCGCGAAAACGCCCGCGTAGACCGCTTGGTTTCGCACGCTTCTGCGGCTGGTTCACCGCTCTTGCCTGCCTCTCCTCGTAACCCACAATCCGGCCCGCCTTCGGGCGGCACCGAGATTGTCCTGCCGGTTGCCGGTGCCATTTCTCTTGATGATATTTCTTCGGGGAAGGTAAGCGCACCCGCGCGGCAGGCCCCTGTTTTTGACGGTTGTCAGGAATACTATAACGATGAGGTTTTCCTCTTTTGGAAACCGCCGTCCTTTCTGTCTAACTGGACGCCCTGTGAGTTCTCGGTTCATGGCATTCGCTACGTGTGCGGCGAACAGTTCATGATGGCGGAGAAAGCCCGCATTTTCGGCGATGATGCCGCTTATGCCAAAATCATGGCTACCTCCGACCCGAGAGAACCCAAGTCCCTTGGTCGCAAGGTA